CTCGGCTGAGAGCCCCAGGGTGGCTCCTGTGGCCCCAGGGTGCTGTCAGAACGTGTGAGGTGGGTGGGCAGACAGGCGGCCCCTGGGAAGCCGAGAACTCGTGTCTGCAGCATGAGCGGTTGCCAGTGTCCCCGCTGTGGTCCAGCAGGCAGTGTTGGGGTCTGACAGGCGTGCTTTCCGAAAGACCCACCCCTCCCACACCCCTGAGGTGTGGTCGGGGGCGCCCGGGGGCCTGGCTGTTCCCCTCTGGAGAGGCTGGGCCCAGGGAGGCAGCCACCCCCAGGGTTGTGCACAGGCCCTCTCCAGCCACTCTGGGGGCCCAGCTCCCGGGAGGCGGTGGGGTGGGTGTTGGCGGTGCCAGGCCCGAGGCCTTCAAGCTGTGCTGGCCACCACAGCCCAACCTTCATCCATCCAGCTTATCTGGCTGGACTCGCTCAAGCCTGGTGGCACTGTTCCCCAGGTGACCAAGGCCCTTCAGGACAAGTGTCTCCACTGCCCCCTCCTCCACAGGGCACCCCCGGCCCCCAGGACCCCCTGGCTCCCTTAGTCTGCGCCCCAGCGCCCCCACCCATCCTGTCCTGCTCGAGGGCCCAGTGCTGGTTCTGCTTCCAGGGCTCTTCTCTTTTTTTTTGGCCACACCAAGAGTCATCTGGGGTCTCAGTTCCCCGATCAGGGGCTGAACCCCAGCTGTGGCAGGGGCCCCCGGAGTCCTGACTGCTGGGCCACCAGGAGCTCGCTCTAGGACGCCTCCTTATGCCCCAGGGTGGGGCTTCCCGCGGGGTTTGAAGGAGGACGTGGAGGGCCTAGCAGAGCCTGAGCGGTCTGCGGACTCTGAGAGGCCAGCAGGTGTCCCCCTTGGACTCGGCCTGCTGGGGGGCTGTGCTGTGGTCACGGGAAGAGGACTTCCTGCCTGGCACTGGGCTGGGCCTGTCCTCGTCCTAGACTGGGTGAAACTGGCTGGACCGGCCTGGCAGGGTGGCAGGTGGCATTGCCGGCCCCTGGGCGTGGACACACCTGCCCCGAGTCCCTCTGGACTCAGTTTGTGGATGAGTGTGGTGAAACCCAGCGTCTCAATTCCCTGCCTCACTCATCGGGCGCAGAGGTGTGCCAGGAGCCGCCCCCAGGAGGTGGCACCGTGCGAGGGTCAGGGAGGGCCCCGGCGACCAGGGCTTGGCTGCAGCCCCCAGTGCCCTGGAAGGTCAGGTGTGGGACAGGCCTTTCCTCCTGCAGCCTGAGTTTTCCTGGCAGGCCCTTAGGGGAAGAGGGGGAGGGCTGAGGTTAACCTTGACCTCCCACAAGCCGCACCTGCCTAGTGTGTGGGAAGGTCACACAGGGAACAGACTGCAGAGCTGGCCATGAGTTCTAACTAATGACACAAATAACCCAGAGCTCCAGACGCTTCGTAGTGGTTTCAGAGCTGCCTGCTCCTCAAGGGTGTTCTGCACACACTGCCGGGTCCAGGCCCAGGCCTCCTGCTTGTCTCAGTCTTGGGGGGAGAGTGGTGACATCAGTCAGCTGCACCCCAGGCCACTGCCCTCCCCCGCCACCAAGCTGCTGCAGCCCTCTGACAAACGGAGGCTGGGGCTTGCCTGCTGTGGCCCTCTGGCTTTCCAGGCTGCCGCCTCCCTGACCCCAGGGGCCCAAGTACAGGTGGTACCGCTTCCCGTGGTCTTCCCCCAAGGCCAGGGCAGCCCCCTGCCGCCCCTCCTCAGATGGCCAGGGCACTCCAGGCCGCCCTACCAGCCCTGTCCATCCTGGGGCCGCCCACCCGGGGCTCCCTGAGGCCCCCAGCACCCAGGGCAGCGAAGCTCCATGTGAGGCCCTGCCCCCACCCTCCTTGCCTCACAGCTCCATTGTGAGGTCAGCGCCTTCCGCCGAGCTCCGGCCAGAGCTGTGCGGCGGGCCGCGGGCTGGACATGGCCGCCTGTCCCCAGCCCGGCTCCTGCCTGCTCAGCGGCCCCCTCGGCCTCATATGTCTGTCCCTTTTGCTCATCCCTGCTGCAGGTGCGGCCTCCCCCAGCCCCGCCCCGGCCCGGGCCCCGCCCGCACCCATCCAGGCCCAGGGGCCACGGGGGCAGGGTTCAGGGGTCAGCCACTGGCAAGTGACGCGGGCCCCTCGGCTGCCTGGCCGTGTCTCTGCAGCCGGAACCTACTGCGAGTGCAGCCTTGGCCTCAGCCGCGAGGCCCTCATCGCCCTGCTGGTGGTGCTGGCGGGCATCAGCGCCAGCTGCTTCTGTGCCCTCGTCATCGTGGCTGTCGGTGTCATTCGAGCCAAGGGGTGCGTGAGTCCAGGGCCGACTGGCAAGGTGGGGGGGGGCTGTGGGTCAGGCTGTCCCCCCGGGCTCCCGGGCTCACCGCGTGAAGTCAGCAGGGGCTTGGGAAGGACGTCTCCCAGGCTGGGATGGGGAAAGGTGTGTGGGGGCACCTCTGGAGGCAACCACGTTGGTCACAGACTCACGCCTTACCTTTGTCCCCCCCACCCCAGTGAAACGTGCCCTGAGCACATGGACAGCAGGTGAGTGACCCCAGGGGAGGGCCCCGAGGGTGAGCTGGGCCCCTGGAGGCGGAGGCCACCTGGGAGGCAGAGGCCTGGGTGGTTGGCGCTACCCGCAGCCAGCCTGAACTGGGCCGTGGTGCGCAGGATGGTGGGGCACTTCGGGGTGCAGGAAGACCATATGGACCTGCGCACGGTGCATGTGGAGTCCCACCTCATGGACCCCGACATGGTGGTCCCCATGATGCGGCCCCTGGAAGAGCATGGCCTGATGACCATCACCATGGACTCGACCCTGGAGGAGCCGCCCCCCCAGCCTGAGTAGGGCTTCGGGCGTGGGGGGAGGGGGATTAAACAGTATTTAGTTACTCTGTGCAGTCCTCCCTGGGCCCCTCTGGGGGGCGTCTGCCGGGGAGGGGGGCCTGCACACACCTTTCTCTTCAGTGGGGTGCCTGCTCTAGGCTCGCACTGTCCACCCTCCGGGCAGGGGTCCACACTCTGGGTGTCTGCACTTCCTGCATGCCTCAGCCCTGCTGCTGCCTGCCTCTGCCTGTGGCTTCTTCCAGTGAAGCCCTCAGGCCCCCGCCCCCGCCTCACCCCAGGAAAACGCCAGGACAGGACCTGTGACTCGGCCGAGTCCAGGGAAGCAGCATGTGACCAGAGGACTTGGGCTGGTGCCCCTGCCCCACCCACCTGTCTCCTGGAGGTTCCGGGAGAGCCCTTGGGGGGCGGGGGGGAGGTGACTGCCTCCGCTTCCTCAGGGGTGCCACCCTCCCCCCGCCCCCCACCATATCTCCTGGACCCCAGGCTCAGGGGCCCCTCAACCGTCCACCATAGGGATGGGGCCGTTCTAGGTGAGGACTGCTGTGTGCGCCCTGGAACCACTTGCTGAATGGAGACAGGGGCGGGGGGCGGGGGCGGGTACCAGCAGGGCGCACTGGCTCTCACGTTGCGTGTCGCTGTAGTGAGTTCAGCGGGAAAGAGATTGTGGGGGATAGCGTGGTCCTGTTGCTCAGGCCTCCTGGGGTCGCGGGATGGCGCACCACACAGGTGAGGAAGGGGCGTGGTCTTTATAGCGCTGCTGGCCCGGAGCCAAGTGGAGCCCAGAGCTTCGGGACAGGTGGCTGGCAGTGCCCTGCCTCTGGCTGGCTGCCCAGCCTCCGCCCTAGGCGCGGGACCAGCCGTGGGACAGGAACTGCCTGTGCTCAGGCCGGAGAGTTAATGCTTGTGCGGGAGCTGCAGGGACCGACCCGCTCCGGTAACAGGCGGACAGCGGACCTCCACGACTCTCCCCATGCGGAGTCCCTCCTTTCCCTCGTGGGGGCCGCCGCTGCAGCTGCTGCTGCTGCTGTTGCCGTGGCCAGTCTGGGCCCAGGCGCCCGCCGCAGCCGCCTCCTGGGGAACCCCGGGCGCCCTAGACTGCCCCGAGGCGTGCGTGTGCGCGCCGGGGGGCCAGGCAAACTGCTCGGGGCGAGCGCTGCCCGCCGTGCCGGGGGGTTTGAACTGGCGCGTCCGTGTGCTGCTGCTGAACCACAACCGCGTGCACGCGCTGCCTCCCGGCGCCTTCGCGGACGCCGGCGCGCTGCTCCGCCTGGACCTGCGCGAGAACGGGCTGCGCTGGGTGCACGCGCGGGCCTTCTGGGGCCTGGGCGCGCTGGAGCAGCTCGACCTCAGCGCCAACCAGCTAGAGGCGCTGCTGCCCGGCACCTTCGCGCCACTGCGCGCGCTGCGCGCCCTCTCTCTGGCTGAGAACCGGCTGGCGCGCCTAGAGCCCGCGGCGCTGGGCGCGCTCCCGCTGCTGCGCGCGCTCAGCCTGCAAGACAACGACCTGCCTGCGCTCGCGTCCGGGCTCCTGGAGGGCCTGCCGAATCTCAACACGCTGCGCCTGCGCGGGAACCCCTGGACCTGTGGCTGCGCGCTGCGCCCGCTCTGTGCCTGGCTTCGCGGGCACCCGCGGCACGCGCCAGGTGAGCCCTCGGGGGCGCGGGCGGGCCGGGCGGGCCGCTACCCCCACGACCGTCTGACTCAGCGCCCGTGTCCCGCAGAAGCCGAGACGCTGCTTTGCGTGTCGCCGGGGCGCCTGACGCTCAGCCCCTTGACCGCCTTCCCGGAGGCCGCCTTCAGCCACTGCGCGCGGTCCCTTGCCGCCCGGGATCTGGCCGTGGTCTACGCTCTCGGGCCCGTCTCCTTCCTCGCTAGCCTGGCCGCCTGTCTGGCCTTGGGCTCCGCGTTCACCGCCTGCGGCGCTCGCCACCGCCGCCGCCGCCGCGCCGCCGCCCGCCGCCAGCAGAGGAGGCCGCCGGATCCTGGCCCCGGCACGGCCTCGCCTGCGGCCACCGCCGCTCAAGCTTGAGGGGCTGCGGCCGCCCTCGAACCTCCCCCCACCCGCTTGCCCCCTCCGCACCCCTGACAGGCGTCAACAAGCGACACAGCTCGAAATTTTCGTGGCATTCCTTTTGGCATCACCACTGCACACACCGGGAGGGGCGGGGGTCGGCGCGCCCGGACGCGGAAGGGCCGGGCCTGCATCGAGCGGAGCTGAGGACAGTTCTGAGCCAGCCAGCGTCTGCGAGGCCCGCCCTGGGCGGCGGGCGGAGGAGGCAAAGAGAAGAAGGCTCAGCCCTCGCAGGGTCCGGAGAAGGTGGGAGGCAGTGGGGGGCCCGACCGCGCCCCAGGGAGGCGCTGCCAGCGGGTGGGATTCAGGGTCTGCAGTCCAGGAAGGGCAGGGCCAGCTCAGAGGATGGGGTGAAGCGGAGAAGGGGTACAGGCAGGAAGGGGGAGGTGGGGTGGAGGCCGTGAGGCGCGGGGGTGTGGGAGGGGTGGCCCAGCCAGCCGGGGCCAAGGCCCACCGTGGCTCTGGGAGTGGCCGGGAAGGATGGGGCTCCAGTCTCTGCGCCAAGCCCCTCTGCTGGGCCGAGTCAGCTGCTCCCCCCGCTGCTCAGAGACCCCAGGGCCCTGCCTCTGCCGGAGCGCCCCGCGGCCCTGCCCAGCCAGCTCAGCTCTGGCCCGTCCTCAGCGGCTCTGGTCCGAGCCTCAGTCCAGCAGGAGCTGCCCGCCGGCAGCAGGGCGGACGGACGGACGGGAGGCCCGGGGTGGGCAGTCTCTGGCAGGTGGGCTTCCCTCAGGCCTTCCCGAGCAGCAGGACCCCTCAGTGTCCTTGGCCGGGCTAACGGGGCGGGTGGGCGCCTCCGGGCGCCTCACACCACGGTGCTGACCGAGGGATCTGAGAGGTTGAGCGGGCCCGTGATATCAGTGGGATGGTACTGCTGCAAAATAGAAATACAGACAAGGCGCCCGTTAGCCCGGCCATCAGGGGCACGCGCGGGGCCGGGACGGGTGGACCAGCCAGCCGGCCGACCGGCGGGCAGGCGGGCGCGGCCTGGGGGAGGCTGGGGGGCGCTCCTCCCCCTGACCCCGTCGTGCTCCGGGACTCTGCGTGGGCCGGGCCGCTGTCCCGTCCGTCTGTCTGTCTGTCTGCGGGGGAGGGGGGCAGAGGAGGGCGGGCAGGGCGTCTCAGCTCTCCCTATGACGGGCACACATCTGCAGCTGGCCCTCCTCCCTCTCAATAGCGCGTCGCGGCAGCACTGTGTCTTTTTGGTTTTGCAAAGCGCCGCGTCCACCCCCGGTGCTCTATAAATAAGAACCAACAATCAATACCCGCTGGCCCCGCCGGCCGCCAGGGACCCCAGCCCTGATCGCCCAGTGCCGCCCTGGCCCAGACCAGCCGCGGGACAGGGGCAGCGCATCTCAGCAGCCGGACTGACCCCACCCCTCCCGACAGAGCCCCCCACCCAGGCCTCCCTCCGAGCAGGTGCCCAGCCTGAAACAGTGGGGGGCTGGGCTGCCCTCCCCCGCCCAGCCCCCAGCTGGCAGTGTTCCCAGTCACCCCTGCAGGGCCGGCCAGCCCCAGATGCCACGTGGCACCAGAGCTGGCCTGGAGGGTGGTCCCCGGGGAGGCTCGGGCAAGGAGTCTGCTGGGAGCGTGTCCCGGGAAAGGCACCATGAGGGTCTCTGAGCTGCACCCAGGCCAGTTAAGGGGCTTGTGAGTGGGCTCTGGGCCGGGATCGGGGGTGGGATTCTGCTGCCCTGGAAAAGTGGCCCACTGCCTGCGTGACTCTCCTGACCCTCCTTTCGCCTGCCTGTCCCCAGAGCTCTGTCTGCCGGGCGCCTCCTCCCCCGCTGCCCCACCGCTGCTCCTCGCTGGCCCTCCCAGCCCCTGGTGGAGCCCCTGACTCAGGCCCCACCCAGTTCCCGGGCCGCACGGCTCCAGGCCTGTGCTCTCAGCCCCTCGGGTCCCCGTCCCCCCACTCTGCCTGTGCTGAGCCCCAGGAGTGGAGTGGCCAGGCCTCACAGGCCCCTTTGGGGCGGGTGGCGGCCTCACCCCGGACTCGGTGGCTCTGCCGCTCCCTGTCTGTCCTGTGTCTGCCCCTCTTCCCTTGTGCTGTGGGCGGGGGCTACAAATCCTGCTTCCACCTGGATCGTAAGACTGGGGGGTGATGCTGCCTGTGAACTGGGGTCTCCTTGTGGATGGGAGGACAAGCCACCCCTGAACCGCAGGGAGGCTGCTGGGCTGAGGGCTGTGCTGGCCCTGGGCGGTCCCTCCTCACTTGGGGACGCTCCCAGCAGGGCTAGGCCAGTCTTGGGAGCCTGGGGTTCAAGCACACACACCCGGGGCAGTGACAGGCTGCTCAGGCAGGAGGACAGGGAATCCTTGGCTCAGGCTCTGAAGGGCCTGGGGGTCAGGCGCTGAAGCACCCCTCCCCTCCGTGGGGGCCTCCCCTTCCTGAGCCTCGGTGCCCAAGGCTTGCCAGCCACAGCTTTCGGGGCCACCCCCCTCTCCCCGTTCTCAGACCCCCAGGTGCTGCCGGCACGCCTCCTGCAGGGCCCCTGCTCGGCCTGGGGGGGGAGCTGCCGCCTCTGGTCCCACCCGTTCCCCATCTGACGGCCCCTGTGGCCAGGGTCCTGTGCCAACTCCAGGCCCCAGCCGTCCACCCAGATGGAGCCGGGCCCGGCCCCCCAGCCCCGGCCCACACAGAGACCACATGAAGGGGATGCAACAGGCATGGCTCTGGTGAGACACGAGAGACAGGCGTCTGGGTGGCGGGGCTGGCGGCCAGACAGATGGACGGATGGGACATCACAGGGACCCCTCCACGGACGTCGCAGGGAGGGAGCGAGGGCAGCGGGCCTCTCCCTGGAAGAGGCTGGAGGGACGGACGTGACAGAGGAGTGTGGCCTCCTGACGGCTGAGGAGCCCGGGACGGGGTGGCCCCGGGCACCCAGGGCTGCAGGCACAGCCTCGAGCAGGGAGGCTGACCGGCGACAGGACACAGCTTCAAGATGGCGCATGGCATCATGGCATGGGGGGCAGACTAACGCAGAGACACATGGGGAAGAGGACCCGGCGTGGGCCCGCGGGATAGAGGACCGACAGAGAGAGGTCCAGAGTCAGAGAGAGAGGCCCTCGTGTGCTGGGCGGGCAGCGGTGAGGGCAGAAGGGCCACAGCGGGCGGAGGCAGGTGGTGGGATGGCAAGGACAGGGCGAGGGCGGGCCTGATGCACGGGACACAGACACGGGGGCGAGGAGAGAGTCGGACACGTGGGACGGGGCGCTCTTCCCCTTACCGTGTCTTTGGAGGACCTACGTCTCTTGAAGCTGGAAGCCAGGGTGGAGGTGATAGCCCTAAAAGTGGCTTTCTTTTTAGGGTCGGGTTCTGCTCTACCACTCTTTCTATCCTAAAATGAATATGTATAAGTGATTAGACGGCGGAGGGTGGCGGCCACACCTGCCCTCGCCTGCTCCTGGGGGCTGCTGCCCAGCCTGGCTGGCCGCTTGGGCCCTCGTTCCTGCCTGCCTCCCTGTGCTGGATGGGCCAGCCGCCGGCCCCACACTCGCAGGCGGCCTCTGCTGCTGCCGGGGTCTCCGGCCTGACCTTCTTTGTGCTGGGACTGGGTTCGGGGAGGCGGGGCAGGGTCCTCAGGTGGCTCTTTTCCAGGAAGGTCCGCCTGGTTCCCTGGCTCCAAGGTGCCCCTGGTGTACAGGTGCCCCAGGGAGGAGGAGCCCCCTAAACACTGGGTGAGTTGCCCCCACAGGCCCCATCAGCCACTCTGACCCCAGAGGAAGTGCAGCGAGATTTAGGAAGGGGCTGAGGGGGCCAAAGGCAGGTGGCGAGATGGACTGGGGTGACAGAGAGACAGAGGCAGCTCCTGGGACCCTGGCCTTGGGTCTGATGGCCAGGGTGGGCCCTGCGCCCACCACTGGGAGCAGCGGCCAGTTCCCAAGAGCAAGAGTGGGCAGATGAGAGGTGTGGGTACACTGGCGACCCCGTTGCCCCGGCCCTCCCTCTCTATAACACCGGCTCCCTCCCAGGACACAGGCTCTGGGGAGGCACCCAGAGAAAGAGAAGAGATGGGGCAGCCTGGGGCAGGACTGTGGGGCACAAGCCTGGTGGCCCAGGTGGGCTGTGGGCAGCCCGTCCCCTGCTGCCGGCAAAGCCCCTCGGGCGCAGCCTGGGGTGCCCGGCAGGACCAGCTGACCAGCTCAGACTGCCGTTACATGGAGCACAGGACACAGCACGGTGGCAGGAAACCGGGTCCTTGGAGGGGCATGGGGCGGCGAGGGATGGCGGACTGCGCCTTGGACTCACATGCTACACCCAGCTGGGTCCCTGTCTTACCCTGCCTCAGTCTGCCTTCCTATGGAATGGGCCTCGGTGGGCGACTCTGGAGACAGAGGGGCCAGGTGGACGCTTGGAGCCCGGCTTCACAGAGGCAGCCACCCACAAGTGGCCCCCAGCACTGCGGCTTTGGCTGTGGCTCCCAGCTCCAGTCCTCGCCACTTGGGCTCCTGGGAGCCAGAGCCAGCGCTTCCGCCTGCGGGGATGGAGGAGGGCCGGGCCGGGCCGGGCCGTGGGCACCAGGCCTCGGAGGGCGGCCTGCCCTACCTGCAGGTTCTTCCTCCACACGTTCACCGCCGCGAACGCCAGCTGCATCTGCTTCCGCCGGGCGTCCTTGTGCCGTTTGTAGGCGATCTCGATGAAGATCAGGAAGATCCCGGCCACGATGCCCCCAGCCACCAGCATGAAGACCCCTGGGGGCGACACCCAGTGCCTCAGCTGTGGCTGCTCCGGCCGCGGTCCCCAGGGGTGCCCATCCAGGGTCAGCAGGGGCCTTGACGGGGGAGCGGGTGAGGCCGGCTCACTTGAGGATGGACAGGGAGACGTTCTGCTTCCAGGGGCTGTCCTTGCGCATGCCGATGCCAAAGCCCGAACGGAAGAAGAGCTCGCCCGTGGTCACCAGGTCGCACTTCTGCGAGGCCTCGAACTCCAGCACGGCCGAGTCCCAGATGAAGGCGTGCAGCTTGCTAAGGGCAGGGGCGGGGTCACGGGGGCCACGCTTCCAGGTGGCCCTAGCTCCCCGCGAGCCTTCCTCCTGCCAGCTGGGGACCCGCTGTCTGTCCCCTCCCCGTGGCTCCCACACGGCCGGGACACTGACAGTGGATGTGGACGCCCCCAGCTCGTCCAGCCCGCCCTTCACTCGCGCCCCGCCCTCCCCGCCGTCAATCGTCGCCCAAGGTCTGGGTGGCCCCGCCCTCACTTGTCCCGCACGGCCCGGATGGCTCCGCCCCGCCCTCACTGGCCACGCCCCCTCCCTTGTCACACAAGGCCTGGATGGCCCCGCCCTCGCCTCCCCGCCACGCCCCTCACTGCCCCCGCCCCGCCCCTCATTTGTAGCGCCCCGCCCCCTCGTCGCGCACGGCCTGGATGGCCCCTACCCGCCCTTCATTGCCCCCGCCCCGCCCCTCACTTGCTGCGCACGGCCTGGATAGCCCCGCCCTCACACAGGTCCCCTCCCCGCCCCTCACTGGCCCCTCCCGGCCCCTCCCGGCCCCTCCCCGCCCCTCACTTGTCTCGCACGGCCTGGATGGCCTCCGCCGCGCTCTCGTAGTTGTGCTTCTCCATATGCCGGTACATGGTGCTAAGCTCCACCTGCCGCCGGAAGTAGATGTCCACCGAACTCTGCTTCACCGTCGCGTAGATGAACTTGTCCGAGGGATTCCTCAGCTGCGGGGTCAGAGAGCCAGGCTCGTGGCTGCTCCCCGGCCCCACCCCAAGCGGCAGAGGGCCTGAGCACCTCCCTCCCCAGCCCCCAGCCGGGCCCGGCCTCACTCGCGGGTCGTTGATGCCGGTGATGCGCTCTTCGGGCCGGTCCAGCACCAGGAAGGCCGCCAGGTTGGCGGTGTAGGAGGCCACAATGATCATGGCGAACCCCGCCCACACCATGCCCAGGATGCGCGCCGAGAAGCTTCTGGGGGCGCCTGCAGGCAGAGGACCGTCAGTTCGGGGCGGGCGGCGGGGCGGGACGGGGCCCTGGCCGGGCGTCGCCTCACCTTCCCCGATGCCTGAGTTGAGCAGGACGCCCCATGAGAACCACATAGCCGAAGACAAGGTCAGCGCATCCTCCTCCTCCTCCTCGCTGTTCACTTTGAACCGGCCGAAGGGGCTGCGGGGGCGCAAAGGGCGGGCGGGAGAGGGCGGGAGGGGCAGCCTGCCCCGGCCCTCGCCCGCTCCGCCCGCCCGCGGGGGGAGGAGCCCGGCCCCCGGGCCGCACTCACCTGAAGCGGTCCAGCAGGTAGAGCATCACAGCCACCACGTGCACGGACAGCCCCACCAGCAGCCACAGCGTGCTCTGGAAGGGCTGCATGAAGGAGTCCAGCGTGCTCCGCGGGATCTCCTGCGGGGCCACAGGCCGTTAGAGCCACGGCAGCCCTCCCGGGACGCCGCCCCGCCCCGCCGGGCCTCCGCGCACCTTCTTGACCAGAATGGTCAGGCCCTGGTACTTGAAAGGCTTCGAGAACTCGATGTACTGCGCGCGCTCGTTGTTGATGGTCAGCGGGGCCACGATCATGTCCGCCTGCCCGCTGAGCAGCTCACCCATCATCCCGTTCCACTCCTTCTTATTGCTGTTGTTCACCTGCGGGGCGACCCCGCCGGTGGGGACGCGGACTCCGCGGACACCACTCCCCAGACAGGCTCCAGGCCCGACCCATCTCAGGGGTCATCCACTCCAGACTCCTCCCAGGCTCGCGCCCCGCCCACCGAAGACCGTCCGGGGAGCAGGACCCGGTCCTGCGCTGGCTCCCAGGGACCACTCCTACCCTCTCCTGCGTGCCGAACTTGCCGTCGGCCACCAGGTGAACCTCGTAAGTGAAATTCATGGTCCGCGCCAGCTTGATGAGCAGATCGATACAGAAGCCGTAGCAGCACTGGGGCACAGTGTGGCGCGCTGGGTGAGGGGGCGGCGCGGTGAGCCGAGGGGCTCGCAGGCGCGTGGTCCCTGCCCTCCCGCCCGAAGCCAGTGCCCCTGGCTCCCGCCCCACACTCACGGCTGCCCGGCGACGTGTCATTGGGCCCTGTGCAGATCACCTTCTTGACCGGGTCCCCATTGACGGTGAACTCTTCCTTGCACGTGCCGTCACTCAGCGTAGGCTTGACATACACAAAGGGCTCCTGGTGGATCGTCACAATCTGGGGACAAGAGGACACATGGCCTGGACCACCAGCCCTGGGCTGTCCTGGGCACTGCCCTCTTCTCAGCACCCAGACTTCCCTGGAGCCCCCCTCCCCAGATCCCTGACATTTCCTGCACCACCCCCTCGCCATGGCCCCCTTCAGGCAGCCATCAGCCTGCTGCCCCCAGCAGGGGCGCCAGACCCCAAGGCTTCGCCCAGGTCGTAGAGGGTGCCTGGCCTCCTGGAACACCGTGCCCTCTCTCGGCCACTTTTCCTTCAAGTTCTGGCCTGGGGAACAGTCCCTCGGTCACTGGAGCCTGCCAGAACGTCTAGTCTGCCCTGAGCTCCTTCTCTGACTTGTTGAGGCTGAGGACCTCCCTGTCCCAGCCCAGAGCCTACCCCCTGCCCCCACCCCTGCCGTGAAGACAGGGGCATGTCCACTCAGAGCCTGCCCAGGACTAGGGACACACAGGGGCTGCCCTTGTCGGCTCTGTCAGCTTCTCCTGGCCTCAGCCTCCACCCACAGGGAGTCCTTGTCTGATCATCTACCCTCTCTCCCTGCCTCTCCCCCGCTGAGGCTGCCCTCTCTGCCGTGGCCTCTTCAATCCAGGGGATCCTTGGGGCTCATGCTGGGCACTCTCTCCTCTCTTTCCTTCAGAGCCCTGAAGGCTGGGAGTAGGCAGGATAGACACAGGCAGAGGAGCTGAACCAATCACTGCACGGGATGAGGGGTCCCAGGGGACACAGTGCTGGGATTGAGTCTACCAGGTGAATGGGGTTGGTGAGAGAGGCCCCTTCTCCCGCAGGGTGACCAGCCCACCCAAGGGCAGGGGATTGGGAGCGCCTGAAGAGGCTTATTTGCCTTTAAAACTTTCATCACAGTTTCTATTATACAAGTAATATGCTCATGCTTTTTAAAAAATCAGTGAGACGGAGGAGGGGTAAACTGGGAGATTGGAATTGACATATACGTACACTACGACACATCAAATAGATAACTAAGATCTACTGCATGGCACAGGAGACTACTCAGTGACCCGTGTGGGGATAGAACCTAAAAAGAGTGGATATATGTGTGTGTATAATTGAGTCACTTTGCTGTACAGAAGAAACAAACACATTGTCAATCAACTATCCTCCAAAGAAAATTAATCTGAAATAAACAATTTAGTGTCAAAAAAATAAGTGACACACAAAAAAAGTTCTCAAAGGCCTTCTGGCTCTCAAAGCCTATAGGGGACCATCTTGGCCATCTGTTCTGTCTGTTTTACACTCAGACTTTTCAACACAAGGCATCTGTCCTGAGCGTTGGCTTGGGGAAACTCCCTTCTGCCCATAGAGAGGGTTGATGACCTGTGGGCAGGTGCAGACAAAGAGGTCCAGATGAGAGGCCATGGGGGTTGGGTAACTCAAAAAGCAGAGGAGGTCAAGAGAGGACCTGGAGACACCACAAGAAGCATGGTGTGAGGCTCCTTGCCTTTGGTGAGCTCAGGTACCAGCCTGATGCTGGTGTGGGTCACTGTGGGATGGACTCTTGGGAGGCACCCTGGGATGAGCCCAAAGGAGCACAGCAGAGTCGGGACAAGGAAGAGAAGCTGTGAGAGATGAGGTCCCGGGGGAGGGGCTCCCAAAGGCCCAGTGAGTCACAGAGGGGCTGGTCAGCACAGGGAGACCAGGCTCAGAAGGACAGTCTGAGCCAGTCCCAGCAGGAAGCCAGGAAGGCCAAGGGTGGGCGCTGGGCTGGGACCACCTGGAGGAGTGCCAGAGTGTGGGGGCATCATCTCCAGGACTGGGGCTCAGGACTCAGAGTGCTGAAGTCCACAGAAAGACCACCCCTCTGTCCCTTGTCCCCAGGGGAGCCCAGGTCCACATGGCTGCCCCAGGCTTAAGCGGAATGGGGTCAGGAGGGGCTGGGGAGCAGGGCTTCCCCTCCTCCCCTCCGCCGCACCAGGTGTGTGCAGTGGCCGTGGGTGCTGGGCAGGTCCCAGGACTTTTAGTCACTTTCAGGGCCCTCACTGTCCCTTCTGCACCCGTGGCACGGATGGAGGCTACAGCATGCGGAGCCTGGGGCAGGGAGGCGGGGCCCCCACCTTCAGCCTGGTGGACATCTGATAGCCACGTGGCTTCTCGGTCTCTCCGCCTGGCCAGATGATCTTCCTGTCATTGGGAATGACCTGGGGGTGGGAGTATGAGATGGAGGTGGCCACGCAGGGGTCTCGGCCCCAGGACCCTAAGGCCCCAGCCCCCACCCCCTCATGACCCCCACCTACATGAGTGCCGTTGTAGATGCCCACTTGTACCAGCTTGCGGTTCTGCAGGTTCATGATGCTGTAGTTGGCAAACTTCCGGTCCCCGTCCTCGTTGAATTCCACACGGCCGGTCACCCCGTCTGCGTACTTGGAAGACATCAGCACCCTGGAGAGGGCAGTGTGGTTGGAACGATCAGGGATGCAGTCCCCGCTCCCACTGTGAGCCGCCAGTGCCAGATGGACAGCACAGCCACGTCAGCCAAGAAGCCCCTCGGCTCTAGACCCTGTTTTGAGGGCTTCCTGTGGGCTGGGACATTTGATTCTCACAGCTTTACAGATGAGGTGCCAGAAGGCCAGGGAGGACGCGGTGTCCCATTCACCAGCAAGTGGAGGAGGCTGCGTTGAGGTCTCATCTTCCTGGGTGTGCACAGGTGTGTGTGTGTGTGTGTGTGTGTGTGNGGTCTCATCTTCCTGGGTGTGCACAGGTGTGTGTGTGTGTGTGTGTGTGTGTGGTGTGTCCACTGGGCCATATATGTGTGCACACACAACATCTTTGTATGGGGTGCAGCCCTGTGCATGTACTTGTGGCACAGGTGTGATGTTCCATGAGCCTCTCTGAATCTGCATATACACGCATGCACCTGTGTGCACATATGCTGCGTGTCTGCAGTTGTGTGTGCTCCTGCTGTGGGCACCACAGACCAGGACTCTGCACCTGCTAATTGGGGGTGGGTGTAGGTGATGGACTGGACCTCCCCATACTAGTGGCTTGGTGTCCAGGGTTCTCTGTGTTAACTCCTGCCTTGCTGCAGCCACCCACTGTGTCTCTGGCCAACCCTGGCTCTTGGCAGGCTTGGATGTGCTTAGTCACTCAGTCCTGTCTGACTCTTTATGACCCCACGGGCTGTAGCCCTCCAGACTCCTCTGTCCATGGGGATTCTCCAGGCAAGAATACTTGAATGGAGCGGGTTGTCATTCCCTTCTCCAGGGGATCTTCCCAACCCAGGGATCGAACCCAGGTCTCCCGCGTTGCAGGCGGATTCTTTACCATCTGAGTCACCAGGGAAGCAGGCATGGTGCCATCCCCAAAATCCTCGTCTGACCTCCTGGGCCTGAGGAAGCTCCCATTGCCCGCCTGAGGCAGGATTCTGCCCCCCCCCCCCCCCCCCCCCCCCCCCCCCCCCCCCCCCCCCCCCCCCGCCCCAGGGCTGTCAGTCATCCTGGGGATTGGGGTGGGCTCTCAGGGTTGGCTGCAGTGTTTATAGGTGGGGACGGGGCAATGGAGGCAGCCATGCTTCTGTGACATTCGAGGCGATGGTGTCAGCGTTGGAAATGGACCAGATGGTTATCACAGCGGGGATGGAGGTGAGGATGGAGACGAGGTGGGAACAGAGAGGAGAGGGGAAGGAGGCTGTGTCTGTAGTCGCAGCACGCTGGGCTGGAGCGACTCTTCCGGTTCCGGAACGGTGGCCCGCCCCGCCTAGAAGGGCGGCCCCACCCCCTTAGACGGAGCGGCCCCGCCCACCCTGGAAAAGTGACCCCGCCCACCTCTTGAATAACAGTCCCGCCCACCTCAGAGAACGGCCCTGCCCACCCTGGAAGAGTGGCCACGCCCGCCGCATGACGAGCGGCCCCGCCCACCTTGGAAGGGCGGCCCCATGCCCTCAGACGGAGCGGTCACGTCCACCTCAGAGAGATACTACATTTGATCTTAGCCAAAAGGCCGAGAAGCGATTCCACTTCAGAGAGAGACCCTGTCCTCATTAGATCAGCTCTCGCACCTTGGAAGAATGGCCCCGCCCACCCTGGAAGAGCGGCCCCGCCCACTTTGGAAGAGTGGCCCCGCCCACCTCTTGAAGAGCGGCCCGGTCTTCCAGATGTTGGTGTTGCCCACGCAGCCCCGCGGCGGGTCGGTGATGTTCTCCTTCTCGAGCAGCTCGTGCACGGCCTGGGCCACCACGCCCACGGCGTCGCTGATGTGCGCCGACTCGTTCTTGCCGTTGATGAGCTGCAGCCCGATGATGCCTGGGGCGAGGGCTGGCTTAGAGCCCGTGGGGGACCCCTGCCCACCGGACCCGGGAGCCCAGCACTCACCGTCCGGGGCGTAGCGCAGGGCGTTCCCCGAGATCTCGCGCTCCCCCACCAGCCACACGTACCCCGAGCCCGTCATGTTCAGCATCGCGGCTGCGCGGTACACGGTGGCAGCGTCGTCCTCGCTGTGGGGCAGAGCGGGGTGACGGCCAGGACTCCAGCTCTCCCCACCCGCGGCCGGCGGCGGCTGCTCGACTCCCAGGTCCTCCTCCACAGCGTGGCCTTCCCCTGCCTCTTCCCCCGCCCCTGGTCTGCAGGGAGCTCTGGAGGCACTGCAGAGATGGGGGGCAGCCCCTACCCCGACCCCTCCCCCAGCCGGCACTGCACCTGGGCCAGGAGACCAGCCACGAAGTGATGGGGTGGGGCCCAGACCCCCAGAGCTTGCCAGAGGTCTGTTGCTGGCCCCCCGCCCTTGTGGACAGGGTTAGGGTGACACGGATGGTGATGGATCATTATTGATGGATAACTTGCTCATCCGCCCCAGACACTATTCTGAATGCTTTCCATGCACCTTTGTATTTAATTCTCACAACCTCCCTGAGAGGCAGGCAGAACATGATCCCTGGTCAGGACAGGGCCGGAGGAGCCAGGGAACACGGTGGGAAGCGGAGGGTCGGGTATGTGCCTGATAATCCACCCCTGAGCCCGTGCTCCTACAGCTTCCTGGGCAAGCCACACCCCTCTGGTTCCACGCCTGAACTTGTGAACTGAGAGGTTGGGGCCTTTCTGAATGCTGCTGGGACCAAGTGCCAGGGTGCTGCCCTGAGCCTCGCAGCAGAAGCCACTGGGGGGATGAGGGCACCTGCTCTCCCTTTTGGAGTCTGAACAAGCATCTCTGGGTGCCCAGCCCTGGGTGCTCTCCCTGCCACCCTGGGCAGAGCCCCTGGCAGGACAGAGCACAGGCCTCACTTTGCAGGCACACGCTGTCCTGAGCTCTTGGTGGACTGAGTCACAGCTGAGCCTCTGTGGACTCCGCCCCCCCTGGGCTGGTCCCCCCCTGGTCAGGACAAGCACCCTGGGCCTGATGGCACTCCCACCTCCTCTTCCCTGCAGGGTGGAACTTGACCCAGGACACAACGGACACTTTGCTTCTCTAATGCATAGGCAGCGGGGGACAATGCAGTTCGGGAGATGGTCTGAGGGCGGGGTTATTTTACAACTGCTGATGCGGGAAACCCAGGCAGCCCTAGGAACCCTAAGGGGTTCGGAACGGTGGCCCGCCCCGCCTAGAAGGGCGGCCCCACCCCCTTAGACGGAGCGGCCCCGCCCACCCTGGAAAAGTGACCCCGCCCACCTCTTGAATAACAGTCCCGCCCACCTCAGAGAACGGCCCTGCCCACCCTGGAAGAGTGGCCACGCCCGCCGCATGAAGAGCGGCCCCGCCCACCTTGGAAGGGCGGCCCCATGCCCTCAGACGGAGCGGTCACGTCCACCTCAGAGAGATACTACATTTGATCTTAGCCAAAAGGCCGAGAAGCGATTCCACTTCAGAGAGAGACCCTGTCCTCATTAGATCAGCTCTCGCACCTTGGAAGAATGGCCCCGCCCACCCTGGAAGAGCGGCCCCGCCCACTTTGGAAGAGTGGCCCCGCCCACCTCTTGAAGAGCGGCCCGGTCTTCCAGATGTTGGTGTTGCCCACGCAGCCCCGCGGCGGGTCGGTGATGTTCTCCTTCTCGAGCAGCTCGTGCACGGCCTGGGCCACCACGCCCACGGCGTCGCTGATGTGCGCCGACTCGTTCTTGCCGTTGATGAGCTGCAGCCCGATGATGCCTGGGGCGAGGGCTGGCTTAGAGCCCGTGGGGGACCCCTGCCCACCGGACCCGGGAGCCCAGCACTCACCGTCCGGGGCGTAGCGCAGGGCGTTCCCCGAGATCTCGCGCTCCCCCACCAGCCACACGTACCCCGAGCCCGTCATGTTCAGCATCGCGGCTGCGCGGTACACGGTGGCAGCGTCGTCCTCGCTGTGGGGCAGAGCGGGGTGACGGCCAGGACTCCAGCTCTCCCCACCCGCGGCCGGCGACGGCTGCTCGACTCCCAGGTCCTCCTCCACAGCGTGGCCTTCCCCTGCCTCTTCCCCCGCCCCTGGTCTGCAGGGAGCTCTGGAGGCACTGCAGAGATGGGGGGCAGCCCCTACCCCGACCCCTCCCCCAGCCGGCACTGCACCTGGGCCAGGAGACCAGCCACGAAGTGATGGGGTGGGGCCCAGACCCCCAGAGCTTGCCAGAGGTCTGTTGCTGGCCCCCCGCCCTTGTGGACAGGGTTAGGGTGACACGGATGGTGATGGATCATTATTGATGGATAACTTGCTCATCCGCCCCAGACACTATTCTGAATGCTTTCCATGCACCTTTGTATTTAATTCTCACAACCTCCCTGAGAGGCAGGCAGAACATGATCCCTGGTCAGGACAGGGCCGGAGGAGCCAGGGAACACGGTGGGAAGCGGAGGGTCGGGTATGTGCCTGATAATCCACCCCTGAGCCCGTGCTCCTACAGCTTCCTGGGCAAGCCACACCCCTCTGGTTCCACGCCTGAACTTGTGAACTGAGAGGTTGGGGCCTTTCTGAATGCTGCTGGGACCAAGTGCCAGGGTGCTGCCCTGAGCCTCGCAGCAGAAGCCACTGGGGGGATGAGGGCACCTGCTCTCCCTTTTGGAGTCTGAACAAGCATCTCTGGGTGCCCAGCCCTGGGTGCTCTCCCTGCCACCCTGGGCAGAGCCCCTGGCAGGACAGAGCACAGGCCTCACTTTGCAGGCACACGCTGTCCTGAGCTCTTGGTGGACTGAGTCACAGCTGAGCCTCTGTGGACTCCGCCCCCCCTGGGCTGGTCCCCCCCTGGTCAGGACAAGCACCCTGGGCCTGATGGCACTCCCACCTCCTCTTCCCTGCAGGGTGGAACTTGACCCAGGACACAACGGACACTTTGCTTCTCTAATGCATAGGCAGCGGGGGACAATGCAGTTCGGGAGATGGTCTGAGGGCGGGGTTATTTTACAACTGCTGATGCGGGAAACCCAGGCAGCCCTAGGAACCCTAAGGGGTTGGCCCCCAATTTTCTCAGGGAAAAATGCAAACCTTCAGTGTTTGCTTTAAACAAGAACGCAACCCAAAATAGAGGTGCTTCAGGCTGCATCCAGCCAAGATGGCCGGCAGCACCAGTGCGTGCATATCGGGACGCGGTACCCCCAAAGCCTGGTGGAGAGGCCTATCTGCTTGACACCATCCAGGTCTGTGAGGTTGGCATTGGTGGTGAGCACATTCCCATGCTTGTGTCTCTGTGAATCGATACCTTCAGTAAAGCAGTTGTGGAAAAGGCCTGATCAACATCAAACTGTTTTATGGAAATAACTGATCCCAGTAAAGACAATTTCAGGAGGATTACTTTAAAACAAATTTTGGAAACAAATCATAAATTCTGACATGCTCAATAGAAAACTGGTCAAAAGCTAAGACTGGCTTAATGAGGTCTCTCTGCAAAATGCTCTCAACAGGCTTCATGAGGAGGAGCCAGGGGGTGTCGGGTTGGGGACAGGGTGAACCTAGGGCTGCATCTGCCCTGCCCAGGGGACTGCTGGCGCCCCTGGGCTTCAGGAGTGGACTGTGCCAGGCCGGCTGGTCTCCTCCTGTGGTGGGACACTGGCCTCTCTGCTCCGAGGTCCTGTGTGTGAGGGCAGGGGTTCCTTCCCACTTGAAATTCAGAGACCATGAGTGGATTCAAGAGGTGGGCATGTGGTTGATGAATGCTGTGCCTCTGCGAACAGTGAATGTACATGTGTGGGGCCTGTGCACTGTGTAGTATGTGGCATACATGTCTATGCTCATGAGCATGTGTGTGCCAGTGTGGTGTGTCTGCTCAGGTATCTAGGTAAGCACGTGTTTGTGAGTGCGTGTGTGTGTTGTGTGTGGTGGTGTGCCTGTGTATGTATATGAACGTCCAGTGTATATGGCACATGCATGTGTACACAAGGGTGGAGAAGCATGTCACGTGCACACGTATGTGTACAGTACATGTATAGACAGCTTGTGGGTGATGTGTGTTCAGTGGATGCGTGTGAGTACGTGTGCTGTGTGTGCCTGTGTAGGGGATTAGTGCCTGCTGTCTTCCAGCCCGAGGACTAGGCTCTATCCCGGGGAGACTGGAGGTGGGGCACCCCTGGGTCTCACCCCTGCTGGAGCCTGCAAAGTTTCTGGGACAGGCAGACAGTGGGGTGGGTCTCCCCAGGACCCCCATGTCCCATGGGGCAGGGTGCTTCCATTTCCTATTTCCGGCCTAGCTGTTCCCTTCGCAGGAGGACGGAGCCATTTGCATAAAGGGAGGCTTTTACTGGGGCTCAGCTCCAAGGTCGCAGTGGGGCCAGGCCCCTCAAGCAGCAACCAGGGGGTCGGGTCCCTAACCAGTCGCCGCTCCAGCCCTCCCACCCCAGGGGCCCGGCCCTCTTCCTGCCATGGGCTTTCTCTGCAGGCCCTTCGCCCCCTCTCGGGGCCCTCTCCCTGACCAGCTCCCAGAACCCCAGTCAGTCACTACTGCCCGGGGCCACCTCTGCCTTGTTAAGGGCAGGGGCTCACCCCTCTGCCGTCTCCAAGGCCCTGTGTATGCGTGCGGGGGGCGGGGGGCACTTGGGAGGCAAGGCCCAGCATCAGCAGGGCACACCCTGGGTCTGGCCCCAGGGTGGTGGAGGGCCCAGCCTGGCCTCACCTGGCGGAGAGGATGATGACCCGGGCCTCCAGCTCCCGTGCTTCCATCAGCAGCGCCGTCACGTTCTTGGTCCCCGGGTCGAACTGCAGCACCTTCTCCGCCTGCAGTGCGAGCGGGAGTGTTAGCAGGAGGCTGGGGCGGGGGACATAGCGCCTCAGGGGCGAGAGTCGAGCTGCAGCCGCTAGGAACCCCGAGGCCGCGCCCTAGGGCCGCCGCGGCCTGCCTGCCGCCTGCACTGCCAGCTGCCTGCCCTGCTGCGCCGGCCTTCCTGCGTCCTCCTGCTCGCTCTCCTGCTCGCTCTCTGCGCTCCGCTCTCTCCTCCTCTCACTCCTGGCCTCACTTTTGCACTGAGCATGCAAGTTGAAGTGGACCGAGACTCAGAAAGAGGCGTGCAGCGGACAGGAAACAGAAAAGAGTTTTGGAATGCAATCCAAAAAGGCGGAGATGGGCCGCCTTTTCCAAAACCTCGGGAGGTCCTCCGGGGCCTGGTCCGCCGGCCCTGTGGGAGCTGCCCAGACTGGACTGCAGGCGGGCGGGCGGGCTCCCTCCTGGGTTCCGCGAGGAAACCCGGGGGCCCGGAGATTCACATGCACTCCCCAGAGAGCCGCTCCTCCTGCGGGCCACCTGCGGGCGGGGGCCCGGCGGCCGGCACCGGCCTCTCCTGCCTAGGCTGCCTGCTCTGGACCTGGCTCTCCTTCCTCTCTGCTCGGCCGCGGCGTGGCGCGGCTGGGCCCACGGCAGCCCTGGTGGCCGAGGCGCCCGGCCGGGGCTCCCTAGTCGTGGGTGGCGTGCACGTCCATGCATATATACCTTGGGTCCGCGCTTGTGGTCATAGGACAGTTGGTCGAGGTTTTCATAGTTCCTTTTTTTACTCTGATGAATAATGTGCACAGAGAAAATATGCAGACACAGAAGAAGATTATAAACGGTTGAAAATGACGGCGCTAAAGCAATCACACCACCTCCTCGGCACGTCTGCAGACGGGCACGTACCTGGAGCTCGCAAACACCTAGGCCGGGGCGGGGCCGGGGCCGGGGCGGGGCGGGGCCGGGGCCGGGACAGGGCAGGGGTGTGCGGCGCCGGGGCCACTGAGGCTCCCTGCCTGCCTGGAGTTGCGCTCGTGGAAATGGTCACACTCAGGAGAGAGGGAGGCCCTGTCTGCCTCCAAGTGAAACACACCCCCTGGGGATCCCACCTGCCCCCAACCCGGCCATGCACCTGCCGTGGGGTGCCCACCATACCCCCCCAGCCACGTGAGCCCTGAATGGGGTGGCGTCCCCTCCCCCAGCCCTGTCCCCTCTCCCTCCCCTCCAGCACCCCCTTCTGCCCCTCTTGGAAGTCCAGTGTCCTGCCCTCGCTGATGGGTGTGACGGATGCCCCTGCCACCCCCGTGTGCACTGAGTGGTTTTGACGGAAGTTCGTGAGCACAGGCGCATCTGTGGGTGTCCGCATGCGAGTGTCAGCCTACGTGAGCATGTTGCAGTGGGGGATGAGGGTCAGCGCGTCTGAGCGCATGTGTGCGTGCAGGCACCTGAGTGTGAATTCGGGGTGAATCCGCTCATGGGCACGGGCCACCTGTGAGCCTGCTGGACCACGGCAGATGGGGGCGGAGGGAGCCTGGGTCCTGAGTCTGCGACGGAGGGAGTGGATGTTCTTGGGAGCAACCACATGTGCCTGTGAGAGGGAGTGTGTGGCTGGGCGTGTGGGCATGTGTGTGTGTGCACATGTGCAGCCACCCCGGGAGGGGACGTGCCCGCGTGGTGCTGTCTCAGGAGGGGGCCCTGAGGTCCTGGGAGCCAGCCCTCCCTCCCAGGTTTAGGCCATCCCCTAAGGCAGGACCCCCAGGGCCCTCTGGGTCTGCCCTCTGCTTCCCCCAGCCGCTCTTCCCTTCAGGGCCTATGGCACCTTGGGGGGCCTGGGTTGGCACTCAGCTTATTGAAGCCAACTCCGCCTCTGCACACAGCGCGTGCTCCCGCCACCCCTGGGTCTGGCCTCCTGGGGCCTCCCCAGCCTGGGCCTCCCTGCCCGGCTTGGCCACCACCCAACCCGGGGAGGGACACAGCCCGGGTGCAGAGCGCCCGGGGCTCTGGGCTGGCTGGAAGCGGGACCCTGGGTTTCCTCTGGTAGTGGGGGTGGGTGAGGAGGGGGTGGGGGTCACCTGGACCCCCAGAAACACCACTCTGGTCTTTCCACCGCCCCAGGGATGGGGGTCAGCTGGACAAGAATGGTCAGTTAGAACCAGGCACCTAATTGGTCCCCAGGAGGGGTCCAGAGCCTGAGCGGGGAGGAGAGAAGGGGCCAAAGAGGGGCAGGGCCAAGACTGGGAGTGGGGCTGGCAGACGTCCCTGGATGGGGCTTCTGTGAGATTGACCGGCAGCGGCCAGGCGAGGGCGGCTGCTCAGTGAGGCCAGCAAGAGGACACGGGAGGGGTCACAGCAGAGGGGACTGATCTTTCGTGCAGGGGACGCGGCGGCGCCCCGAGTGAGGGCCGAGCCTGGGGCCTGAGCGGGCTGGGGGAGGGGAGGGGGCGGGGCGGGGTGTTTGCGGAGCTCCAGGTGGTCCTGCCCTCGCCCCGCAGGGACTGACACGAAGGAGATTTCGACTAATGGCAAAAGCGAGTGAGATGAGCCGAGGACAGGCTGGGGCGGGCGCTCGCCAGACGGAGTGGTGCTGAGCATGCACGATGGAAAGAGAAGGGTGTTCACACGGGCCACAGACACAGCGGCGGCTCGCCGGCTCCTGCGCGCGGCGCCCCGCCCGGGCCTCACCTTGGACTCGCGCTCCTCCAGCAGCGTCTCCAGGCGCTTCTGCGCCGCCCGGCCCTCGTGGTCGTCGCTGACCAGGAGGATGACGTGGTTCCAGCTGTAGACTCGCATCATCTCGAACCAGACGCTGGACTGGTGGGAGTAGGGCGGCACGGTGCGCAGGAAGCTCAGGTGGATGCTCTGCGGGGCACAGGAAGGCTGAGTGCGCGGCCAGAGACCTCGGCCAAGGCGCGCGCGCTGCAGACCCCGCCAGGGCGCTGCTCCAGCTCTCGGCGTACAGACCCCGGACCCTCAGCTTCCCCGACTCCTCCCGGCCCACTGTGACTTCTCCCCACACCACATCATCTCATCTGAGAAACAGGCTGGGCTTGCCCTGACTGAGACGGGGGTGGGGGGCGGGCTGTGGAATTTTTACTGGGGTGATTCCCCCACCTCCCCGCAGACACCGCAGCTCAGCTACTCTGGCTCAGAAAGTTCTTGCTGAAGTGCAGCATCTCAGAGACCCGCACGGGTCCTCGAATTTAAATGGCCAGTCTTTCTGAGGAAACCTCCCTCTTGGGGCTGCGTTCCTGTCTCTTGGCCTTGTCTGGTGTTTGCTCTAACCCTCGCCCTGGCCCTGCCTGCTTCTCTGAGGGCACCGCCTGTGGGCGGGGGGCTGCGCAGGCTCCGCCCTCCTCCGTGTCTGTCCAGGGAGCAGGGCTCCTGGGGACCACCCCGAACCAGGGGTTCGTCTGCTCCCTCTTCGTGCCTTGGAATCTGGGCTCAAGAATGCCTTTGCCTCTGTCTGTCCTCCGGCAGATGGCACGGCTGCCGGGGCACTGTGGCTGGGGTGTCGGGCTGGCTCTGACCCAGGTGGGTCTGGTCCGCTTGCTGGGCACAGATGGTCAGGGGTTTATTCTAGGAGTAGGGTCAAGGTGGAGCTCTAAGATCTGGCTGCTAGGTGTGCCCTCGTGCCGGGCCACGGTCTGGATCTGGGGTGGGGGCTGGTGATGGCCCGCATCCTGCCTAGGAGAGAGCTCCCCACCCCAGCCTCTCCGTGCTCCCGGCTGCTGTCCTCCCTGGAGGCACTTTTCGGGCCTGGTGCCCAGAGAGGTGAGGAAGGCAGAGGCTGGAAGGTGCAGGAGGGAGCCCTCCACTCACGGTTGAGGTGTGAGTGCCTCTGAGCAGCGTGGGAGGCTCTGTCTGCTGTGACGGGTTCCCAGAGCCTCGGGAAGAGGGGCTGCCCCGGCCTCCGCTGGCCTCCTCCCGCGGGGTCATCCCGGGGGACCCCTCACTCTGCTCTCTCTTTGCCGTCGTCCCTGGCCTCCCTGGACACCCTGGGCCTGGCTGAGATGACCTCTGTGACTCAGGCGGTGTTATCTAGAGCTCGGGGCTCCAGACAGGATGAATTTGGAGAAGATGGGGAGAGCTGGAAGGCCCCCAAGAGCCCAGCCCTCTGCCCCTCGGCTCAGACGCCGAGCCAGAGTCCACAGTCTGTCTGCAGGTGGCCGCCCCAGTGTTCTCGCCTGGAGGACCCGTGGACAGGGCAGCCGGGCAGACTGCAGTCCGTGGGGCGGCAGAGCCGGACACGACTGAGCACGCAGGTGGCCCCAGGCCTGGAGGGTCACATGCGGCGGGCTGACCACCCCCCAGCCTCCTGGTGGCATTTGCTCCCAGCTGACCAGTCCTCCCAGAGTTGGGGCAGACGCTGCGGGAGAGCTGTGTGAGCCAGGGCACGGCCCCGCTGCTCTGGGGGCGAGTTTCCTGCCAGCCTGACTCGGGGACCTCTCGACTCTCCCAGCTGCTGCTCCACGATTAGACGGCTCCAGCCAGACCCCGGCCCAAGAGCCAGGAGGCCACCCTGAGGGCCGCACCCCGAGACCGCCCCCGCCGTGAGCTGCCTCCTGGGTTCACCCAGCATCAAGTGCAATCCTCTCCCAGCTGCGCCCTCTAGTGGCGGGGCTGGAAACTACACCCTCACTGGTCCCTGGTGTCGCGGCCCCTCTAGGCGGCTCCTCCTCCTGGAGCACACCCTTTTCCAAGGGCCCCTGCTTCGCTGTCCGGGAAGTTGCCCCGTCTGTCCCTCTTCTGACCCATGAGGGCCTCTGCTGCTTCCCGGGGTTTGCTTTTGGCACCTGTCAGTGGGCTGTGTGCCTGAGTGTGTGCGGGCATGTGTCAGAGTGTGCGTGGGTGTGGGCCTGGTACAGTGTGTGATGGGGCGTGAGTGTGGGGGATGGTGTGAATATACGTGTGGACATCAGTATGTGTAAGAGCATGTGGATGTCCTTGTGGCTGTGTGTGGCTGTGTGTGTGTAGGCGTGAGTGGACAGATATGTTCGCATCTGAGTTTGTGTGAGTGTGAGTGTTATGCGTGTGTACCGGTGTGCAGGTGTGTGGGTGAGTTCGTGTGTCTCTGTGAGACTGCATTCCGGTGTGAGTTGTGAGTGTGCCTGAATATATCATCTGGAGCCCAGAGCCCGTGGTCTGAGCCCCTCTGCCTGCGCCCCGTGCCCCCTCCCCAGGCAGCTGCTGGTGGCCCTGGGTCTGCCCACGGGGGCACAGCAGTCAGACTTACCTTGTCTGAGTAGATGGACATGCGCGTGGTCAGCCCCAGGACGGGGATGCGGTAGAAGCCGGCTGTGTAGGAGACGGGGGTGGGTGTGAAGTGGTCGTTGGGGGTAGGCGGGTGGCTAACTAGGATGGCATAGACCTGCAGGAACGGGGACACAGTCAGTTCGAGCGGGGGGCGGGAGGCCCTGCCCCAGAGCCGACCGGCCAGCGGCAGCAGGGGCAAAACGCAGCAGGCAGGGGCTGTCTGGGGGCACTTGCGCCTCGTCTGGAGGCAGAGAGAGAGCAAGGCTCCAGGGACTTGGACTTCCCTGGTGGTGCAGTGGCTGGGACTTCATGCGTCCAGTGCAGGGAGCCTGGGTTCAATCCCTGGTCAGGGAATCAGATCCCACATGTCGCAACTAAAGATTCCCAGTGTCACAGGTAAGACCCAGCACAGCCAAACCAAAAAATAATTTAAAAACAAGACTCCAAGGGCTAAGAAGACACACAGCGAGATGGCAGACCCTTCCCCACGCTCCTGCTGTCTGGGGCCTCCCCTCTTGCCCCTCACACTGGGGGGCTGCCCTGAACCGCCAGTCTTTGTCCTGTCTGGGGCTGTACATGCTGCCGCGCCGTGGGCTGGGGAGACCCACACCCACAGCCCTCACTGACCCCCATCCTGGGTCAGAGACAGAGGCTAATGCTCCAGAGATGGAGGGTGTCTCCAGAAGGCCCGCATGGAGCATTGCAGACTGAGAATTAGGAATTGGTGGGAGAAGCTGGACAAGAAGTCACCCAGAGGCATGGAGCTCCTGCTGGTGTCTACCAGCGGCAGACTGAGCCCCACTTGGTTTGAGCGAGACGCAGTGCTGACTTGGGCACCAACCGTATCCTCAAGGAGGCCTGGACTTCCCACCTGGACCAGTGGCTCAGCCCCAAGGCAGGGAGATGGGGCAGATGGCCTGGTAGTTCTGAGCTGCCCTCAGATTAGAAGGCCCTGTCTGTCCCATTTGTGCCTTCCCCTGTCTGAGCCACAGAGCCGCCTGCTTCTGCAAATGGGGAGAGTGCTGACCCCACGTGGTGGGGGTGATGGCAACCATGCCCATGCCTGGCCCACAGCGTGTGACAGTGAGTGACAGCTCCTGCTGTCACCATGCCTCCCGGCACTGGCTATTCCCTGGGAGAACGGTGCCCCCAGGCAGCAAAACTGTAAGTTGGAGGAGGGATCCCCATAAAGCACCCTACCCCTTCTCCCTCCCTGCCCCCATCTGCACCCAGAGGTGGCTGGTCAGTCTTTGCCTGAGCATGTATGTGCATATGTGTGACCATGCTGGTGCTCACGAGTGTGTGCTGGGTGTGTGTATGTATACAGCATGCCCCAGCATGTCCACTTGTGTATATACATGTAGGTGCCTGCTTGAGCGTGTGTGAGCACATGTTCGCATATGTGGCACAGGAATGCATGTGCCCATGGAGATGCACGGGGGTGGGCGTCTGTGTTAATGAGTGTGCAGTGGATTGCGCAATGCCAACATGCATGAGTGAGTGCTAGTTTAAGTCTACGCAACACTGCACAAACATGGATGGATATGTGCGCACATGTGAGCATGAGTGTCCGTGGATGTGGCACGCCTGTCAGGTGAGTGTGTGTGAGCAGCACTTGGACCCGGGTCGGTCCGCCTCTTACATAAAGGGCTGCATTGCAGTGATCGGGCTGCCTCATTGGGATGCAGCAGGCGCAGAGCCCGGGGGCGGACAGCTCCGCAGGCAAAACCCTGGAGTCGTGTCCTCCCCCCCGCAGTGCGGGCTGCCAGCCGCTGAGCCCTGGTGCCTCCCACACACATCGTCCCCATCCCCACCCTAGAGAGCACCCTGCTTCAACACGTGGGCCATTTCCCCTGTCAGGCAGTCCTGTGGATGGGGGCAGGGGAGGGTGAAGGGATGGAGGTCTCCAAGACGGAATAAAGATGGCCCCGGGCCCCATCCGGTTTAAAGCCCTGCGTGCTGCGAGTGGCTGGGCTGGCACCTCGCGGGTGGCCCGGGATGCTCGCCACCACCCTGACACACAGTGCCCAGAAAAACGGCCACATGTCCTCACACACCAGCTGGACCCCTGGTGAGGACAAGCCCCGGTGGCAGGCGATTGGTCTGGGGCTAATATGCAGAGCTGACGGCCCCCGGTGTTCAGCTGCTGGCGAGACCAGCCCTCTGGGTCCTTTCTCAAGGGGAGTGAGAGGGCGAGGGAAGGATGGAATGAAAGGGGGACAGCGTGGCGGGCACCTGGCTGGAGATGAGGTCTTCGCACACCGACAGGGCCATCTGGATGGCGTTGGGCTTGTGGGTGACGGAGGTGGCGTTGAGCTGGATCTTCCAGGAGCCATGCCTCTTGTTGGCCTGATTCACAGCTTCGCGGAACATCTGCTCGTGCTTCCGCGTGCTGAGCACCGCGCCGATGTTGACGATCTTGGGGTCGCAGGCGGCGCGGGCGAAGGAGCAGGAGAAAAGCAGGGCTAGAGTCAGCAGGCGCATGGTGCTCATGGGCTCCGGGCAGCGCCCTGACTCTGGGCAGCGCAAACACGGGGCCCTCGGTGCATCCCCAGCGGGAAGCCCCGGCCGTCCTGCGCGCGCCCGATCCCGCGGACGGAGGGCGCCGCGTCTTCCCCGGGAGCCTTAGTCCTGCGACACCCGCGAGAGGGACGCGTGCTGCGAGGCTTCGACCAGCCGGGCGGCCCCGGGCCGGCGGCCCGGGTGGCGGGCGCTGTCCGCGGTGCTGAAGCGAGTCTAGCTGCCGCTCCGGGTGCCCCGCGCCGCGAGGACACGGCGGCGGCAGCTCCTCCGCTGGCTTCGCTGGTCCCGGTCCCAACGCTGCGGCGGCTGCGGCGACTGCGGAACGGCGAGCGGGGCCAGCGTCGCCTGCTCCTCCTGCCGCCCCCGCTTCCCAACGCGGAGCCGGAGCGGGGGCGCCCCCCGCGCCAGATTGTGCGCCTGCGTTCGTGCGAGCGTTTTTCAGAGCGCGCGCCAGACGGGGACGCCTGTGCGCGCACGCGTGTGCGCGTGTGTGAGCGCGTGCGGAGGGTCGCTGAGACTATGAGACCTGGGCTGTCTCGCACCTGTAGGGAGTCGAGCATGAGGAGGTGAGAAGAGTTCGTGTCACTGCGGGCGGCCGCCTGTGTCCTTTAATAGGACCGAATGTGTTCGTGCCAGTTTGTGTGTGTGTGTGTGCGCGCGCGCACGAGCGTGCAGGAGTCCTCACCCACAGCCAGTGATATTTCGGGGCCTGAGTCTGTCGGCTGGAAAGCAAGGCCTGCGGAGAGGCCCTCAGCCGCGCCCCTGTGGGAGGCAGAAGGCTCAAAAATGGGGGCGAGGCCCCGGCCTCCTGGCCATGTGACTCGGGCTCCCTCCTAGAGAACTGAGAAGAATGGAGGGTGATAGTGACCGCCCCATGTTGAGCTGCATCTTCCAGGAGAGTCTGAGGGTCTGAACCCCAGCCAGCTGTGGCGAGGACACGCCAGAGGGGGTCGTGTCTGCAGCAGGTGGGAGGAGGTCTGGAGGTGAGGAGGCCTTGCTGATGCAGACACCCTGTGTGCACCGTTTCCACTTCTCCCCTCTCCTAGCGCACTCCCGGCGCCCAGCACCCCCTCCTGCCCCTTGACAGACCTCCTTGTCCTTCCAGTCCTCAAGATCCCAATTCTTTGTCCTCACCCCCTCAACCCCCACCCTGTGCGTCCTTCTCCCTAATGCAAAGGATGGCTGAAGCTCCGCCCACTACCAGTGACATCACCGTTTCCAATAGCAACCGAGGATTCTGCAGATCCAACAGCAGAAGCCCCCAGTGGGGACAAAGCAGGGTGGTCCCTACACCTAAGCAATGTCCTAATCGGCGGAGAGGGGAGGGGCCGAGTCCCTCCAGACAGGATCCTGGCCCCGTCCCCTGCCTCTCTCACCCCTGTTCTGACTGGCCTGCCCCCAGTTCAACACAGACGCTGCGGGAACCCTGGCTGGAAGACGAGGGCTGCAGCGCCTGGCATGCTCTCATTCTTGCCCCTTCTCTCTCAAGGCGAGGAAATCACTGCTTGGGGGCTAATGTGCCCGCCTGCAGCTGCACCCACACATCCCTCTGTTCTGAGGGTGAGGTCCACAGCCTGCCGTGTGGCCTTAGGAGGGCTTGGGGTGTGTGCTTAGGGGCCCAGAGCCGGTCCCATCTTCACAGGGTCTGTGGCCTCTGGTGGTTCAGAGCTTGGAGTCTGCACAGGTGCATGGGGACAGGCAGCCAGCAATGCTGGCTCTGGTGTGGCCCCGACAGCTCCAGGTCAGTGCAGGGAAGAAGGAATTCAACAGGGGCCAAAGCCCCCTAGGGGCCTGGCTCCTCCTACCCACCTCAGTCCCCCAGGAGGGGTTGCTGGAGAGACTCCTGTGGGGCCTGGAAAGAGAATTTCTAAATATTCCCTGACCCAGGGCTGGCGGTTCCACAGCTGGGAGCGTGAACATGGCCACGGCTGGAGCACACACACCGTGGGTGCCATCCGAAGCACATCAGGGCTCTTTCTGCCCTTGAGGCCTGGTTACCGACCCAGCACCGCCTCCCCCAGGCCGTCGGCGTTCAAGCTTCTGCCCAGAGGCCCTCGCATGTGCCAGGTCAGTCTTTCCCATACTGAGTCTCTCCTGGGCTCTGCACCCCCTTTCACCTCATGGGCTTCTTCCACACCCCCAGCAAGAGGGGTGCAGCTACAGAAGGGCTCGACCCTGCTGCTTGCTGTGAAAGATCCTGCCGCGGGTTGAGGCTGCCTGAGCAGATGCCTGCCTGTGCCAAGATGCTTCAAAGCCTTATTAAGAACATTTGGATCACCATGAAGTCCTACTATATCCAAGCTTACCAGGAGATTTGGGTGGGAATGGGGTTAATGGGCTTCCTTGCGCTAGTGGTAAAGAATCAGCTTGTAATGCAGGAGACACAGGAGACTGGGGTTCGATCCGTGGGTTGGGAAGATGCACTGGAGAAGGATATGGCAGTCTGTTCTAGTATTCTTGCCTGGAAAATCCCAGGGACAGAGGAACCTGGTGGGCTACAGTCCACGGGGTCATGGAGAGTCGGACAGGACTGAGTGACTAAGCAGCAGAGCAGCTTATAAAATCAGGAGCGCTGATAAAAGGAGTGAAGCCTGGGGCTTCCCTGCTGGCCCGATGGTTAAGAGTCTACCGTCCAACACAGGGGAAGGCTTACTCCACATCCCACGCTGCGGAGCAGAGCTCTGGAACCACAGCTAGACAAGCCAGCGGGAACCACGCTCGGAGCCCATGAGAGCCTGAGCTCTGCAACAAGACAGCCCATGCGCTGCGCTGCATGAAGGTCCAGTGCAGCCAAAGAAGTACATTTTAAAAGGAAAAAAAGAAAGAGGAGAAGAAAAACAACGTAAAAATAAAGGCTTGAAAGCGTCCAGGCCTGCGTCTGCTCATGGTCATCACTAACCGGCTTCACTTAGGTGGGATGTCGGTCTGGCTGGCTTGTGGGAACGTGGGACGTGGTGTTGACTGGCAGCACTGCTGCTGCCCTAGGGCGCGATTAAATGTACCTGTGACTCACACAGACACCCAGAGACGCTGCCAGGACTGGACCCCTGAGTACGGTGCATCAGATCCTGTGGTCAGGACGGAGGAATGCTGGGGTGCTGCCTCTGGCCCCCAGTGGGAGTGAGGTCCTGTCTATCCCAGGGGGAGCGGGGGAGCCTCCAGCTGCACCGCCGGGCCCGGGGCTCAACCCGAGCCCAACCCGGTTCCCCACGTGGAGGGAACTGCTTCCCCTCCTCCCTGACGCCAACCCAGGGCCTCTGGCGAGGGCTGTCAATCACACACACAGCCCCTCCTGGGCCTTGGTCCATTGGCTGAGAGGGGATCACGTGGCTCAAGCGGCCGGCTCAGGGCTTTTCCCTAGGATTTTGACCAAATCAGACGCCGGGGATGAGAACCGATCTCTGAAAGTTGAGTCACTTGTGGACTCTCTTCTGTCAGGAGGATGCTGACAGGCAGGTGGAGCCTCTGTACAAGTGCTGTGTCCAGACTCCTGGCCCGAGGCCAGTCAAGGGCCCGCCTCCAGACCTGGACTGGGGAGCTGGGGCTGGCCGTCTGCGGGCCCGGCCACTGGGACTCTGTCCTCCATCTGGGGGAGCCCGCGCGCCCTCAGCAGCCGTGGCTGCAGGCGCCCATGGTGCCATCTTGCTTGCCCTCACGCTGATTTCCAATGCACACCACCTCCAGATGGTTCTACTGCCGGCTTCCCCCACAAGATCCTCCTGTCCTTGTCCTCACTGACTTTCCAAACCCTAACTTTCCGGGAAGCCCATCTTCCCAACAGGTTTCCCAGGTGGCACAGTGGTAATGCAGGCGACACAAGAGATGTGGGTTTGATCCCTGGGTCAGGAAGATCCCCTGGAGCAAGAAATGGCAGCCACTCCAGCATTCTTGCTGGAAAATTCCGTGGACAGAGGAGCCTGGTGGGCTGCTGTCCATGGGGTTGCAAAGAGTCGGACACGACTGAGCGACTGAGCATGCACTCATGCATCTTCTCAACATTACAACGTCCCCACAGGTCCCACTGTAGGGAGACTTTCACATTTAATTCACCCACAGACATTTGCTGGGCTCCCATGGCGTGGCAGGCACTGCTCGAAATTATTGGAGGACATCAGTGGGAAAGGGAGATTCCTGACTCAGCACATGGCAAGCAAATAAGGATCTCAAACCATTTCCTGCAGCGTTGCGTGCTCCGAGGAAAAGGAGCACAGGAGGGGAGGGCAGGGCTGGATAGGACGCTGCAGTGGTTCCCACGCACCGCAACGGCTTTGACACGCACCCCTCGAGAGGGCGCCCAGTCCCTCTCTCTGTATGTGGTTGGACTGGAGGACGTCTTCCGAGAGGGGTGTGGCAGAAGGAACACGTGTGGCTCTCCAGGGGAGGTCCGAGGAACAGCTGTGCTTGGGCGCCGTCCTTCGGGGTCGCCTGCTCTGAGGGAGGCCAGCGTGGACAGGTGCTCCCGCCAGTGCCCCCTGCCAGTGGCCAGCACCAACTCGCCAGCTGTGGGCATGAACCCCTTTGGAAACTCCAGGCACCCTCTGGGCCCATCTAGCCTTCGAGCAGGGCCAATGTCTTGACTGTCACCTCGTGAGGGACCTGGGGCCTGAGCCATTCTGCAGACTGCTCCAGAATCCCTGACGGTGGAAACTGCAAGAGATAATACATGTTTATTGTTCTTTTGATCAATGGATGGTTAAATAATCAATACAGGTTGCTTTTTTTCTGAATGAAATGACAGAGCAAGCCATGCAAATATCTGGGGAAAGAGTGTCCCAGGGGCGGGGATGCCAGAGCTTGGAGCAGGAGAGCGATGGGGGAGGCAGGAAGGAGGCCGTGGAGGTGGGGAGCGCGGTCCTGTGTCGGGCCCCGATGAGGGCCCGGCTTTATTCTCTGTGAGATCAGAAGGATTAGAGCAGGAGAGGGACATGGTTCAGTTTACCTTTTAGAGAGGACCATCCGGCTGCTATGTGGATAATGAGAGCGGAAGGGTAGGCCACCCAGGAAGTTTCATGTTCTGGTCAAGAGATACGGATGCGACAAGACGTGGGACGAGAAGGTGAGGAGCCAGGATAACTCTGGAGTTTTTCTCCTGAGCAGCTGAGAGAATGGCGGTACTACCACGAAGAATGGACATATGCAGGTCTAGGAGGTGTTCTGAAGCAAGAATCAAGATTTTTCATTTTCTTATAAAGTTCCTACTAAGCCACAAATCCTGCATGCTTTGGTATGCTGTGTTTCTTGTTTTCATTAAGTTGCATATTTTCCTAATTTCTCCTGTGATTTCTGCTTTGATTTATGGGTTATTTAGAAATCTGTTGTTTAATTTTCAGATATTTGGAAATTCTCTGAATGTATTTCTGCTACTGATTTTTACTTTAATTTCAGAATGATCAGAGTATATATCTTATATGATCTTAAATATATTGAGACTTGCTTTATGGTTCATAAGATGGTTTTTCTTGGTGAATATTCTATGAACCTAGAGGAAATTGTGCATTTTGCTGTTGTTGGATGCAGTATTTTAATAAATGCAAATGTTCCTCAGGGTGGTTTTATTTTTTCCTTAATGACTGATTATATTTAGCAACTTTTCTTGTGCTTATTGGCCTTTTGTATATTTTTTTTTTGGAGAAATGTTTATTTGAATATGTTGCCCATATTAACTGGGTTAATTTTCTTCTTCATATTGAGTTATAAGTGTCTTATATTCTAGATAAAGCTCTTTTATCAGATAAGGTTTTAAAATATTTTCTTCAAGTCTGTGACTTGTGTTTTCATTTCTTAATGTTGTCTTTAACGTGTAAGAGTTTTACATTTTGATGAAGTCCAGTTATCAAATTTTTTGGTAGTTGATCGTGCTCTGGTATATCTAAAATATCTTTGCCCAATCCAAGCCACAATGATTTTATTTTATATTTTCATCCAAGAGTTATGTAGTTTGGGTTCTCACATTTAGGTCTATGATCCATTTTGAGTTCTTTTTTTTATATGGTATAAGGCCAGGTGTAAATTCATTCATTTTATGTAGGTATCTAATTGACACAGCACCATTTGTTGAAAAAAGCTATCCTTTAATCACTGAATTTTCTTATCTTTGTAGGACATCAATTGACCACGAATGTAAAGTTGTTTCTAAAATCTCAGTTCTGTTCTGTTGATCTACGTGTCTTGTTATGCCAGGACCACACTGTCTTGATTATTGAACCTCTGCACTAGGTTTTGATATCAGCTAGTGTTAATTCTCCAACTTCATTCTTTTTCAAGATTGTTTCGGCTAGTCTGGGTCCTTCGTAATTACAGATATAATTTAGGATCATCTTGTCAATTTCTGCTAAGATTTGATAAGAGATTGCAACACATTTATATATTAAGACAACTGCAGTCTTAAAAAATGGAGTCTTTTAATCCATTTATTAATATTTAGAACATCTTTATTTTCAGCAGTGTTTTGTAGATTTTAATGTACAAAAGCTTACAGTTATTTCATTAAATTTATCCCCAAGTTTTTTTTTCTGCAATTTTGAATGAAATTTTCTTTATTTTTAGCCTGGTCATCAGTAATATGCATGTAGAAATAAAACTGACTTTTCAGCATTGATCTTGTGTCTGTAAGCTTTCTGAACCTGTTTATTAGTGCTAGTAGGTTTTTTTGGTTGTTCTCGACTCCCGAGCATTTTGTAGAAATCATGTTGTCTGTGTGTTAATAGACAGTTTCCTTTCTTCCTTCTCAGTCTGGAAGCTGTTTGTTTCTTTTCTTGGGAGAATGAACTAGACAGAACCTCTGGTTCCAAGACTAAAATGGTTAGAGCAGACATCTGTGCCTTACTTCTGATCTCAGAGGGAAAGTATTTGATTTTTCACTATCAAGTACAATAATAGCTATTGGGTTTTTTTTTTTTAATTTATTATCTCATAGGTCTGCAGGTGAGAAGTCTTTTGGTTGGGGACAGCAGGGGGCGGGGTGGGGCAGGGGGCGGCATTCAGCTCCGTGGGGTCTTTGTTGTGGTGCGGACTTTCTTAGCTAAAGAAGTCAAATAGTGAAGTCACTCAGTCGTGTCCTACTTTTTGTGACCCCGTGGACTGCAGCCCACCAGGCTTCTCCATCCATGGGATTTTCCAGGCAAGAGTACTGGAATGGGTTGCCATTTCCTTCTCCAGCTATTGGGTTTTGCAGGCAATTGTAGCAGGTTAGGAAGTTCTCTTCTTTCCCTAATTTGTTGAGAGTATTTATTGTGAATAGGTACTGGATTTTTCAAATGTTTATTTTCTGCATTTATTGAAATGATCGTGCAGTTTTGGTGCTTTATTAGCATGGTGTATGACATCAACTTATGGTTGTTAAACCAAGCTTACATTCCTGAAAAAAAATGG